TTATTCTGTCAGGAAAAAATACTGAAATTCCTCTAAAAACCACTAGTTTAATTATCCAATTGCTGTTTTGGTAACAGTCAGAAGAGTACACATGTACAGTTTAACACCGCGATCATCTGTCAAGCAACTGAGATAGAATGAATGCTGCTGACATATACATTAGGTTGAACATGAATTTTTTAACATGAGGTTCTTTCACTCATTTAATTTTTTAAAAATTGTACAGCATACTTAAACTTTATTCTAAAAATATTCCAAAAATACTATTCTAAAAATATTTGATAGAAACACTTTTCTTAATTTCTAGCTCTGAAAAATCCATTCTAATGCCTTTAGCAATAGTCACTATAACCAAGTAAAATCAGTGATGTGTAATCTAAAAGGTTTACAAGACCTAATATATCTGAATGTGTGATGAAGTATTAATAGCTCTATCTTTTGTTTATGATCTGAAATCACAGTTCTGCATGGTAGACATGTTTTCTCTCTGTTAAACCATAAGGTAAGGCACTCTTGACAAAATATGTGCTGATATATAAGAATAGGCTTTGAAATTCAGCTTGATTCTCAAAAGAATTTCTATCTTAGCAAAAAAAAAAAAATAAAATTCAGCTTGACATGCTGAACAAATATCATCCACATATGAACATGTCTCTTGCTGGCCGCAACTCCGTAACTTCATCATGCAAAAATATTCATAAAGCCCATCTGAAAGTTCTCAGATGTCCATAAAAAGGCCAAAAGTTTTAAATAAGGTAGAATAAAGTCAGCAATATCCCAAGATTCCATACAGTTACATTACTAGACTCCACAGAGCCAACAAGGTAATGAAACCAAACTGGTATGGGGACAAAAATCAGGTAATACTGATATAAGTCTTCTAAAAGCTCACACCAGTAACCCTTGGAATTAAAAGGCCTGCTGAAAGAAGGCACCAATAAAACAAAGCATTTCAAACTCACGAAGAGGCATTTCAGAATAAAATCAGTAAGTCCAACAATCCAAGTCCATCAAAAGTCCAAAGAAGGATTTTTAAAGATTAAGGTGTAATAAAGCAACTGAGAATAAAAAGTATAATACAGGAGAACAGAAGATCTTGCAAATAATACCAGTAATCAAGCACACTAAATCTTTGGAATTTTTCTCTCAGAAAAATTTGACTGATAATGCTGTTGTTTGCATCCATAAAAGTTGT